AATATCCAAACCCTTTCTATGATAGTTTCATGCTTTGAATTTGAAAATTGAATACCATTTTCCCCAAGTGTCTCTAGGTGGCGCAATATCTTTTTAGTCAAAAGGGTGTCATTTCCCCTTGGATATCAAATCTTTCTTTAGATGATGACGTCAAGCCATCACATGGACCATTTTCCCCCACTAACACTATATTCTTCAGTTTGGGAGATACTGAAATACACTATATTTCTTCTTGTTGTATCCTCACAGGGGGGCGGTGGGGAGAGAGAGAGAGAAAGACAGAGAGAGAGAAACGTTCTCTTCTGTGTCTTCTTAAGAGCACTAATCCCTTCATGAAAGCCCTTCCCTCATGACCTAATTACCTCCTAAAGGCCTCATCTCCAAATACCATCACACTGAGGGTTAGGTTTCAACATATGATTTTGGAGGGGATACACAAACATTCAATCTATAACATTGTTGGAATTAACTCTTTGGAACTGAAAAAAGTACACATAACTAAAAATCTATTTTTTTTTACTTAATCACAGGTTGTAAAAGAATTCTTTTTGCTTGTGGTGTTATAGATATTGTCTAACTAAAAAGGACAGACAGGGAAGGGAATGATAAAATTTTTAATAGAGGCTTTCACTGTATTGGAGGCCTTCTCTCAGGTGTGCCATTGAACAAACACACACACACACACACACACACACACACACAGAACATGCATTCACACCCTCATCATTCACTCCATTTTTGAGTAGCAGATATCTGAATATATATGAGGGCCAGCTACTAAAGAAACTTGGTAAAAGTAAAATGTATGCCAATGACTTCTGTACAATAAGGAAGTGGTTATTCGGCTGGGCGCAGTGGCTCATGCCTGTAATCCTAGCACTCTGAGAGGCCAAGGTGGGCGGACTGCTCAAGGTCAGGAGTTCGAAACCAGCCTGAGCAAGAGTGAGACCCCGTCTCTACTAAAAACAGAGACAAATTAATTGGACAACTAAAAATTTATAGAAAAAATTAGCCAGGCATGGTGGCGCATGTCTGTCACCCTTGGGAGTCTGAGGCAGAAGGATTGCTTGAGTCTAGGAGTTTGAGGTTGCTGTGAACTAGGCTGATGCCATGGCATTCTAGCCTGGGCAATAAAGTGAGACTCTGTCTCAAAAAAATAAAAAGGAAGTGGTTATTCACACAATGTTAAAAATAATATTCCCATAAAATTCAGAATATTAGTACTGGAAGGGAAGAAGGAGGATCATACCCATTGGTAGAAAGTGCCAAAATACATGACTTCTCACAGTGAAGGATATATCTGTCTACCCGCTAGACTGTGAGGAATTTGACCACAAGAACCAAGTCTTTGCATTTGCTGTGTGCCCAGTTCAACACAGTGGCTAACACTAGTAGATGTTGAATAAGCAACTCTTTCCATCCTGACAAATTAAATTTAGGACAAGTAAAAGAAAATACTATTTCATGAAGATAGAATAAAGTTAAGGTACTTGCCGCCATTGTCTCCCTTACCACAGATTATTTCATTCATAAATTTTTCTACAAGATGAGGGAGGAATCTTTTATGAAATCATAACCAAAATATTATCACATCTAATATGTTAACAATGCTTCCCTAATATCAGTAAATATCCACTTGGTGTTAAAATTCCCCATTTTTCTCTTAATTTATTTTATAACTTATTTGAATCAATATCAAAATAAGGTATATGCACTGTATTGGTTGATATGTCTCTTAATTCTCTTTTATCAAAACTTTATTTAACCTCCCCAAGAAGAGTGTGCCCTAGACTTCCTTCACTTTGTTCAGTCATTTATGAGGGGCTCCCCCAAGAATTGTGTGACCTCAGCCAGAAAGGTGGGGTAACCCTGAAGAAGCTAACATCAAGAACAGTGAGCAAACCACTCTCCTTGCAGGTGGGGAGTGGTTCTTTCCTGAAGTGGAATCTGGGTATCGCATCTTTGTGTCTCCCACAGTCCACTATTTATAGTACAATGGGTCCCCTTCTCCCCGCAGGTTTGGAGAACAATTCTTCCAGGGTTCTGTTGGTCCTCTCTTCCTCATGGGAAACTCAGAAAAGGGAGGGTTAGTAGGACCATCTACAGTCCCTGTTGCTGCAGTTGGTGACTCCTTCACTATCCATTCTAATTTCCCCTCACTAATCTTGATAGTTTGGTGAGGGGCTCCCAAACCCTCATTTATGAGGAGTTTTAGCACCATGCAACCATATGACCTTCATTCCTTCCTAAAAGGCCCGAGTATGGAGCAACTAGAGATATTTCTAGAAAGACTTCTTGTTATTTGGAAAGAAATGGTCTGATTTACTAGCAGTCATGAGATAGATAAAAAAGAGAAGTCTCTCCAGTTGACTTTAGTATCACGTGGGAAAGTGCAAAGGGAAGCTCTTATTTACACGAAGGAGTTTTAATTACGCAAACATCATGCAAAGAACACTTACTAAACTTTTTTTCTAGACCTCCATGAAATCTAGCGCGATCATCCTTCCTTACCCCAACCTAGAAGGAATTCATTTCTTTTCTCTCCTGCTCCTTACTTGTATATTCCTCATCCTGTGCTGTATCACAGCTTGTATGTCTTGGTGGGCATTTGCCATTTTTTTCAGCTGCCCAGCACCCAACATACTTTCCAATGAGCAGGGAGTTCCCACCCCCCTGAGTCTCAGTGGGAAGCAGAGCCTGTCTTCCTCCATAGAAGCTGAATATTCCAGATTCTTGCTTTCTCAGCTTCACCTTCAGCTAAGGCTCAATAAATATATGTTGAACTGAGCTTTTTGATTGTTTAAGTGTTTTAAGATTTCTGTAGAATTCATCTGCATGACAGGAATAGATAAATTATTCATCTTACTGAAGACACAAATGGTAACTTTCAAGAAGGTTCTATATAAAACAGATACGTGTGTGTATAAAAATGTGTGAATATTTCTGAATCAGGAGCATTTTATTAATTAATATTTAAATATTTCTTTTAGCCCTGTTGCTCAGGAGATGTCATATATATCGGTTTTGGCAATAAATTTTATAAACGTGGTAGAGAGTGATCAGAGCGGTAATAGTCTGAAAGTTTCTCATTAAACTTCGTATTAACCTTTGTATTCTTAGGAAGGTATTTGAAACTTACAGTAAGCATTCAATTAATATTTGTTGGATAGCAGAGTCTTCATCTAGGAAAGCTATCCTATAGATTTCCTTCACAAGCCAAATAATGTAGCCTAAAATTATCCTATGATAATCACTCTGTGCCTCCTATATTTCCAAAAAGTTCTTATAAATTGTAGAGGGGATTATGAACTTAATGGTGTAAAAGTATTCATTATCACAACACAGGGAGTGAGTATATTGAAGCTAAGTGGCCAAGGAATTAATTTCTTCTATTTAACATTATTTTTCCCTCCTCTTATGTGATTGCAAGGCAGTTAGTCAAAAGTAGAAGAAAATCATAGAATTCCAATTTGCAGTACAAGACAATTTCAGAATTATTGATTATCAAGTATTCTGTTGACTTCCCTGATCAACATTCTGATTTAGTTTTTCTCATTATGGTGGCAGCAGAGCTGGTCTCTACAAAGAAACAGCAGATAAGAAACAACATCTAAGACCTAAAGTAGTGAAGTAGTGGGATGCTAAGTGAAGGCACAAGAGGTATGCCACCCAGGACACTGACGGTTGTAATGCATTGCTGGGGGAGGAGTTGGTGTAGATGTCTGTGCTGGGAAGAAGCCGGGGAAGAGGTTTGCCATTAGCGGAAACAATAAATTGTTGACAGAAAGCCTTTTGACCAGACCGATACTGAGCACACTTTTGCCAAATTACCATGCAAACTATTCTCTCCAAAGGAGCTGATTCTACCCTTTTCTGGTCCCCTTATCCTATGCTCCAGGTCCTGCGTCCAGTAGGATTTTGCTACTTAAGGTGTGTTCTAAGGATTAGCAGCAATAAATGTAACCTACAAGCTAGTTAGAAATGGAGAATCTCGGAAACCACCCCAGACCTACTGAATCAGAAACTTATTTTAACAAGATTCCCAGATGACTTGTAAATGTACATAGTTGGAGGACTGCAATCGGATTCTAATGTATCCTATATATCCATCTATAAACGAAAGCCTATAAAGTGATACTCTAAAGGCAAAAAAAAGTCATAAAATGAATATATTTTGTATCTTTTTAATAGAACTGACCATTGGCCACAAGCATGGTACTAGTTTCCCCCTTCTCCATTCATTCATTCAACCGACATTTGAGAGGAAGATGGGCAAGCATAAGTCATTGGCGTTTAAAGAGCTCATTTAATTTCCTAGACATCCATGAGGTTATTATCCCTATTTTGCAAACTGGGAAACTGAGAAGAGCGAAGAGCAGAACCAACATGTCTAAGAAGACACTAACACTAACAGCGTGCAGTGGAGGAACAGGGATGCGAATCCATGCCTCTCGGAACGCAAAGCTCACTCTCCATCACTGCCGCCCCACGGGGAGTGTATATTCATTCCCTCTCCTCTGCAGGAGTGTTGCACAAGGTCAGATTTCTTCCAGTCGAGTAGCAGAGTTCCTTCTCTGTGTGACCCTCTGTGTCCTGGGCAACAGCTAAGTTCGGAGAAAAAACGGATACGGTAACGGACTTTTTCCAGTCATCTAGGCTGAGTCGTGGGGTCAGAAGTGTAAACATGCGACGTCCTGGTCCCCAGGGAAGACCTACACTTGCCATTTCAGGCGTCCCTCCATCTTGGTCCTCCCAACCTGGGCGTTAGAGGCGAGAAGAGAGAGCCTAGACCTCACTTCCCACAACCAAAATGGCGGCCATACCCATCTTGCCCACAGTTGACCCTGTAGCCAACCTCCAGTCTCCATGGTAACGTGGCCGGCTTCTTCGGCGCCGGCTTAAGCTCCGGGTGTGGGGAAATGGTAAGCATTTCCCTCCCCCTCATTTTTGCGACAGTTGCCGCGAAAGTCACGGCAGTTGAGGCTGGAGTCAGCTGATTTATTGCGGCGGCGGCGGCGGCGGCGGCAGCAGCGGCTACACCAGCACCTTGCAGTCTTGGTAGGGAGACGGCGGCCGGGTAGTGCTTGCAGTCCCGTAGGTTTTCCCACTCGGATCTGCGCACTCATCCTCCTTAGATACGCCCTCGCCTTGTCCTCCTTTGCTGGGGCGCCCACGGCTGGTCTGATACCTGACAACTCGGCATGAGATGAAGCTGTGACAGGTAAGGGAGCTTTCAAGCCTCCCCTAGGGAAACCCCGGCGCGGGATACGCCCGCACTGTGGAGATCAGGGGTCGGGGGTCAAGGGTCATAAGCCTCTTCCAGCCGGGAGCTGTGCCAGCTGTCACAGTACTGCTGCTGGGCGCTCTGTTCCGTGCTTTGCCTGCAGGTTCAGGCCCACAGCTAGCGCCTTTACCAGGAACGTGGGGTCCCGTCAGGGGATTTGAGGGCTCCCTTGCCTAGTGAGTGACATTTGCTTCTGGCGACCGTGGTTTAGTCTTCACGTGAGACTGCCTAGCTCTCAGGGACAGTTTAAACGGGATGGAGTGGTTAGTGATGATCCTGGGTGGTTATTGACAGAGCTTTTGGGTGATGTGCTTGCTTTGGGGTTTCATCAGGTCTCTCCTTACCTGTTGGTACTACTCTTTAATTTGCCCTTGCCCTAGGTACTGAGGCCACTGTTAGAGTTTCATCTTTGAGATGGCACCTGCCAGTTCTCATTTCTTTGCCCTAGGACTTGTCTGAGTGGATACCTCCCACTCCCGTTCACTTACTACTGAGTACCAGCATTCGGCAGCTATGTCTGGAGTTAGCACTACCTTGCTTTTGATTCAAAAATTGTGTTTTATGTTTTGACCCACTTATGAGGTCAGTTTCTCAGATCTTGGGCAGAATTTGCTGGTTCTTATAGTCTGAAACTATGGAAGCTACAGTTCCATCACAAACTGCATTGATACTGTTGATGCTGCTCATTTTAGGGTTTAGTCAGTGGCAGCTACAGCTTTCTTTTTCTGTGACACTTGTCAGGAGACACAAAAGGCAAACTGATTTTTTCAGTTGTCTATTTCTTAGGATTTTATGGACAAGATTGCAAGAATTGCCTGTTGTAAGAAAGAAGTTGACTGAGTTTTTGACATTTTGTTACACAAAAATTTAAGTTTGGGTCTGCTTTTTACATTATAAACAAACCTGGGACCGTATAAGGGGGAGGGCAGCTTACAAGTGATAATAATGTGGTGAAAATACCTTTAATGTTATGAAGAACCAGAAACTGCCTTGGTTTCATCCAGAACAACAATTCTTAGTTATTTTAAATTGTGAAAACAAACCACTATAAATATAGCAAATGTTTCATTGTTAATGTCAATTAGTGATTATGGTACAGAAATTCATTTGTTCACATGTCTTATCTTCATTTTAAAAATGTTCCAGAGCCCCACTTAACAGAAGAATGAGAGTATACACTTTTTTATTATTGCCACCTGTAGTTACATTTTAAAAGATCTCAGTGGCTGAATGAATCAAAGTGACTGGGCTTTGCCTTGTTTGAATACCATTGTGGGAATTTAACTTAAATTTTGGGGTAGTGACCCTTGTATTTTACAGTTTCCTTTTATCTTGGGTATAAGTTTTGTTTTAAAGTTTAAGGCTTCCATGTAATAGGCTTAATATTGAGAACCTTTAAAGTAGTGAGCTTGTTTTGTACTTGCCTCCTGAGAAGGGAAAGATGACATTTAACTTTAGTGGTGTGCTATATGTGAGTTCTTGAAGTTTGTATTTGACCTAAGGTGCAGAGGATTGAGTTAATCTTACTCAAAGCAATGATCATCATTGGGCTGTTGAAGGGATCTCCAATGTTTTACCATTCATTGCCTTTTATTTTCAATTCGGCTCCACTCTCTTGCTCATTAACTGATTGACACCCATTCTGTGTGATGGGTACCCTTCTTTTTATATGTGTTATTAAATGTGAATTGTTTTGGGTGGCCACATTTTTAATTTATATAGGTGACATCATGCTGTATATTTCATTACAGTTTTTTCTCTCCCTATAATGTTTTGAAGATCTATTTGTGTTGCTGTTCATTGCTTCTAACTGCTGCACAATATTTCAGAATGTACTTCTGTCTACTCTTTTATTTGTAGATACCCATATTACCTTCATTTTCTTACTACTATAGATGATACTATGACAAACATACCTTTTAGCCCTCTGTGATACTTTCTTGGAGATATATATCCAAGAATGTGATTTCCAGATCATTGGGTATTAATAAAATATTAATATGTTTTAATTGAAGCACTGCCATATTGTGTTCCAGAACAAGCTACAATGGTCTATATACCTGTAGGCAATTTGTGAGAGTTTCTGTATCTTTGTATTCCCACCAATGCTTTGTGTTATTAAGTGTCCTCATTTTCCCATGCTAATTGATATAAAATAAAATCTCATTTTATATCACATTTCACTGTTATTAATAAATTTGAATGCTTTTTCATGTGAATTTTATCTTTTTGGGTTTTTTTCTTTTGTAAAATTGCCTGTTCATCCTTTTACTCATTTTTATTTTGTGGTTTCAGTCCTTTCTTATTGATTTGCAGAGGTTTCTGTATTTCCTATATACTAGTCCTTTAAGTACTACAAGTTCTTAATCTGTTATTTGTCTATAATTCTTTTCATAATGTCCTTCATTGAATAGAAATCTTCAATTTTGATATAATTAAATAAAAATTTTTTTGATCTTGTGATTTGTGTTTTGGGCATTTTATTTCAGAAGTCCTTACCTAATTCTATGTCACACAGTTTCTCTTCTATGTTATATAACACTAACTTCATGGTTTTCTTTTAAACTTAAAGGTTTTTAAATACATCTAGAATCTACAAGTTTTTATATGTCACAAGTTTGTGATCCAGTTTGTTTTCCATATAGTATGCCAACTTTCCTAGTGTCATTCTTTCCTTTTCACATAGATTATGGTGCCACACATTGTATATTACATTCTCATATAAACTTTGAATACTGGATCCTGTCCCTTTGGTTTGTTCTTACTCTGATACCATGCTGTTTTAATACTATGGTTTTGTAGTATGTATTTTTCCCCAAAATGGATAATTCTTCCCTTTTATTTTATTTTATTTTATTTTATGACAGAGTCTAGCTTTGTTGCCCAGGCTAGAGTGAGTGCCGTGGCGTCAGCCTAGCTCACAGCAACCTCAAACTCCTGGGCTCAAGCAATCCTCCTGCCTCAGCCTCCTGAGTAGCTGGGACTACAGGCATGCCCACCATGCCGGCTAATTTTTCTATATATATTAGTTGGCCAATTAATTTCTTTGTATTTATAGTAAGAGACGCGGGCTTCGCTCTTGCTCAGGCTGGTTTTGAACTCCTGACCTCGAGCAATCCTACCGCCTCGGCCTCCCGGAGAGCTAGGAATATAGGCGTGAGCCACCATGCCCGGCCTAGCTTTATTTTTTTATTTATTTATTTTTTGAGACAGAGTCTCGCTTTGTTCTCCAGGCTAGAGTGAGTGCTGTGGCATCAGCCTAGCTCAAACTCCTGGGCTCAAGCAATCCTACTGCCTCAGCCTCCTGAGTGGCTGGGACTACAGGCATGCGCCATTATGCCCAGCTAATTTTTTGTATATATATTAGTTGGCCAATTAATTTCTTTCTATTTATAATAGAGACAGGGTCTCACTCTTGCTCAGGGTGGTTTTGAACTCCTGACCTCGAGTAATCCTACTGCCTCGGCCTCCCGGAGAGCTAGGATTACAGGCATGAGCCACCACACACTGCCTTTAGCTTTATTTTGATATAATTATATATTCATAGGAAGTTGCAAAAATAGTGCATAGAGGTCTTGTTTTCCCCATGGTTCACATTTTATCCAGCTTTACTTAATTTCCCTCAATGGTTACATTATTGTACAACTGTAGTACAATATCAAAACCAAGAAATTGACTTTGTAAATGCCTGTGGTAGTATAGTTCTGTGCCATTTTGTCACCTGTGTAGATTCCTGTAACCACCTCTGGCATCAAGGGTACAGAACTATGCTCTCACCAGAAAGATCTTGTTCTTGTTGCCTCTTTTTAGTTACATCTACCTCCCTTCCCCTTACTATCCCTAATCCTGGTAATCACTAGTCAGTTTTCTGTCTCTATCATTTTGAGCATGCTATATAAATGGAATCATATGGTGTGTAATCTTTCACGATCGAGATTCATCCCAAATTGTGTATGCACTATAAATAGCTTCTTCTAGCCAGGCTCGTGGCTCACGCCTGTAATTCCTAGCACCTCTGGGAGGCCGATGTGGGCGGATTGTCAAGGTCAGGAGTCAAACCAGCCTGAGTAAGAGTGAGACATCATCTCTACTATACATAGAAAGAAATTAATTGGCAACTAATATATACTATAGAGAAAAATTAGCCGGGCATGGTGGTGCATGCCTATAGTCCCAGCTAGTCGAGAGGCTGAGGCAGGAAGATTGCTTGAGCCAAGGAGATTGAGGTTCCTGTGAGCTAGGCTGATGCCACGGCACTCACTCTAGCCTGGGCAACAAAGTGAGACTCTGTCTCAAACAAACAAAAAAAAAGAAATAGTTTCTTCTATTTAGTTATTATTCCATGGTGTATTATGTATCACAGTTTAACTATTCATCTGGATATCTGGGCTATTTCTAGTTTTTGTGAAAATTCTTATACAGTTGTTTGTATGGATATAAATTTTCACTTTTTGTGGGATAAATGCCCAGGAAGGTGATTGCTGGATTGTATGGTAAGTGCATGTTTAGTTTTTGAAGTAACTGCCAACCTGTTTTCCAGAGTGCCTATACTATTTTACATTCCTACCAACAATGTAATGAGATCCTGTTTCTTTGCACCCTCACCAGCATTTGGTATTGTCACTATTTTTTATTATAGTTCTAATAGGTGTGTAGTGATATCACATTGTGGTCTTAATTTGCATTTCCCAAATGGCTAGTGATGTTAAGTATCTAGTAGGACAGGTTCTCTCATCTGTATTTATTTTCAAAGTGGGCTCAACTATTTTTGGATATTCATTCTTTCCCATATGTTTTAGAGTTAGTTTGTTTGAGTTTCTAAAAGCAATACCACTAGAAGTTTGATTGAAGATGCATTGGATTTATAGATTTGTTTTGGGGAGAATTGACATATTTATATAATAATATTAGGGCATTTTACCTGAGTATGGAATGGT